CCTGCGTCCAACCCCAGGAGACCCCCTGCTCCTCCTGGGACCCGCCTGTCGTCCAGGCGGCTGCCCTTTCCAGAGAAAGCTTCGCTCCAGGCTCGCGCCGTTTAACAGTGTCCCGGCGAGAGCTGCGGGCATGGGCAGGGAGGGCGCGCTCCCCCTGGGCCACACTCACCTCTGCACCGCACTGCTCCGGCTGCCCGCCTGCCCTTCCTCTGCCCACTCCTGCTCCTGCCGAGCCAGGCCTGCCAGGGGTCTCCCAGGCCTCTCTCCTGCAGCCTCACCCTCCTGCGCTGCTCTGTGCTTGTGGAGAGCAGGCAGGCACAGAAACCTACAGTCCGTAAGGAGAACGGGAATTGGGTCTTAATTCAAACTACACGTGGTATTTAAGCAGAGTGTGGTCTGGCCACGTGACTGGGAGGGGCCGCCGTGCAGACAGAGGCTGTGTGTGCCTGGCTCCCGGCTCCTCAGCTCCACATGCCGGCCGCACAGTCCCTCCCGGAGCCCTGGCACCGCCTGCACGAAATAGGACCCAGCCCCACTCTGCACAGGGCATGCTCACAACCTGCCTAGCCCCAGTCCCCGGACGGGCGTCTCTGCACCCAGCTCCGGCCGGCGCTGGGCCACCCAGAGCAGCTCTACCCTCCGCCCTCACCAGGTGGGTGCCGGGCCGCTTCCCCCTCCTGCCCGCAGGCCGTGCTGAGCGCCTGCGTGGCAGGGGGGGGGGGGCGCTGTTCTAAGACGGCTGGAAAGTAGGTCTCCCGTCCTCGCCATGCCTGGCGGGAGCCGGCACCAGGCAGGTAAGAGTAGGAGGGAGTAACTGAGGACAAGGTTGGCTGGCCGGCGTGGCAGGGAGCCGGGCACAGTCCTGAGGGAGGGAGGCCTGCCCCTCGGAGCAAGAGTTTCCCGCAGCTTGTCCCTGCCAGCACCGTCGGAGCCCGAGGGGCCGTTCCTTCATCAGCTCCCCACTTGGCGGTGCTTGTGCGACGCCCACCCTGTGAGGGCACAAGCTTGGGGGGCTTTAAGCAGTGCCAGCGCTTCTGGGGTCCCTGCAGGCACCGAGGCCATGGGTGTGGGAAGAATGTGCTGGAGCGCTTGCCAGCTTGGCGTGGTGAGGGCATGGCGCAGTCCCCTGGGGTGGAAGCTGAGGCTGGACAGCTGGGCCCCTGTCAGCCCCTCGGTCCTGGTCCTCCCAGCTTCTGGGAGCCCAGGTGCCTTGTTATCGGCTCCAAGGACATCAGTCACCCCGCTCCGTCCTGTGCACCCCAGGAGGACCCCGCCTCCAGTTCGGCCCCCAGAGTGCGCTCAGGCCAGTGTGGGAGGCAGGCCCCGAGCTACTCCAACAGCTGGCGCGTCCCTCCGCCCTGGCCTGACTGTGGAGACCTGCGGGGACGGGGCATTCGGGTCCCAGGCCCGGGTCGGCCCTGCTCAGTGAGCTCTGCAGAGAGGCTGCGGGAGCCCGGCAGGGTCATGGTTCCGAGTCGCTGCCCTGCACTCAGCTGTGACTGCAGCCTGTCCCCTCCCGTCTGCACAGGGTGCTGTCAGGGCCCTTGAGAGGGTGGCGCGGGTGCCGTGGAGCGAGTGTGGCCACCGCCCCCGGGGGGTGCTGGCTCTGCTTCCATCTGCTCCGTGGCAGTGGCGTGGGGCCTTGTCCCACAGCGTGGGTGACCCCTGGGCCCCTGGAGGCAGTGCCGCCCCCACCACCACCACGCTTAGGGCTTCAGGGGTTTGGGCCTGGCTCCCTTGTCCCCCGAAACTTGTAAGAAGCCCCATATGCGGAGGCCGCGTCCATCTGCGAGGCCCGGCATGGCAGGACCCCCTGGTGGTGGGGTGTGAGCCGGATCAGCGTGGCCTCTCGAGGACCAGGCAGCAATGCGCAGGCGCCGGAGTGGGCGGGCGGCCTGCCTCGCAGCCCCACGTCTCCCTGCCCTGGGCCTGACCTCCGACGTGGATCCTCCTGCCCGGGCCCGCTCTGATGGGGTGGGTGCGGGAGGCAGGGTGTGCTGTGTCCGCCATGGCCGGCGGAGCTTCGGCCCAGCGCAGGGTCAGGGAGGACCTCACGGACAGGAGGTGTGGTGTGAGCGCCGGAGCAGTGAGGGTGAAAGGCCGTGACCTCACTGCTCTCCAGGAGCGCCGGGTCCCAGGCCGTGAGGTGGCACCCAGACCCTCCCCTCCCTGAGCCCTCCTTTCCCGGCTCCGGGCCGTGCCCAGGTGCCCAGGGCAGCCGGCAGCTTGTTTTAAGGATCAGGGCCTCTTCCCACCCGTCCTCTGGTGGGCAGGCTGCGTGCCCCACAGCCCACCCAGGAGGGGCACCCATGGGCCGCACCGCCCTCCTCGCACCCTGGGGCACGAAGCATGAGCGTGCTCCACCGCCACCAGCTGCCCTGGTGCGGGAAGGACGAGTGCGGCAGGTGCACGCGCTGCGTCCATATGTGGGGGTCACTGCTCAGCCCATGCTGCGACCGGTGAACCATGCCAGCCCGGCCACAGGAGGCGGTCAGTGCTGCTGGGGGCCGCCTTCTGCCCCCTGGCCCACGGGACCAGCCCCAACATTCTTGTTTTGACGTGGCCTCTCCGGCACATTGAACGGTGTCCTCACTGGAGGTGGAGCCTGCATGCTGAGTCATCCCCGTTAGAATGCAGCTCAGATGTTCAGTAGCTCAGAGCGGTGCAGCCATGACCACAGTCCGCGTGGGGACAGCGCCCAGCAGGCCCGCGGCCCAGCTCCTCCTCGCTGCCCTGCGGGCCCTGGGGTGCCTTCGGGTCCTGCTGCTCTGATTGGCAGAGGAGAGCCTCAGTCCCAGCCCAGGCCACCAGGTGGCGCTGGCATCCGAGGGGCTCCTCTCACAGAATCTCGCAGCCCTGGGTCCTTCCTTGGGGTCTCGCCTCATCCTGGCCCGGGGAACTGTGGGGTCTCTGACGTGGGGCCTCAGGAAGGGGTCTTCTCAGCCAATTAGGGGGGTTTTGTTCTTCTGAAGAGAACATTTAGGGTTGTTTGCATGGCTCCTACCCCACTTCTGATCCTCCTGCTTTTCTGTCTCTTCAAACGACAGCTGACGGGCAGTGCCAGGGTAGCAGAGCCAGGGCCTCGGGTCTGCTGGCCCTTCCCGTTGCCATGTTCCTCACAGCTGTTTCTCTGCTGTCATGGTCCATGCGTCAGGCACTGCCATGGAAACACGCCTCACCCTCTCCAAGCCCCACCCCTTCCTCTCCTGACCCTGTGGCTGTGCAGGCCTGTCCTGCCATCATATATGTGTGTGTGAATGTGTCACACGTGTGTGCAGTGTATGTGTGTGCATGTGTCTGTGTCGTGTGCAGTGTGTGCACGCGCGTGTGCACGCACATGTACCTGTGTGTCTGTGAATGTGTATGCATGCCTGCAGAGCAGCACCAGGTACACTAAGGGTCTCTCCCTGCGGCTGTGGGTGTGTTTGTAAAAGCAGAATTCGATGTGACCTCTGAGAACCAGCAGCATCTGGCTGTGTCCACCGGGGACAGTTTCTGAAGGACACTCGCGCCCTCTAGTTGCTGGGAACACGCGGTGGGTGTGCCCTTTGCTCTCCATTGGCTGGGGGCGGCAGTCACCTCCTGAGGTCATGGGGTTATAGCCTGAGCTTTGGTCGCCGTGTTGCCAGCTGAGGAGCCTGTTAGCAGCCTCCTGGCACAGACCCAGTTCCTCCCTCAAGAGCTGGGTGGGTGCAGGGGGCTCCCTCTGACTCCTCTGCCCTGAGGCAGGTCCGTCGGTGGCCACTTGGGGGAGCTCTGCATACGCGCCTGCTCTGCTGCAAGCAGTCTCCCCCCCTACCCCCCCAAAGGCGTGTCTGAATCACTCCTGCTTGTAACTTCAGGTGTGTGGCTGGTGCTGCCACCACAAGCATTCTTGTTTCCAGGTTCCCATCCCCTCCCTTCCTTCCCGGGCCACACTGCAGCGCTGGCTGGCGGGTCCTGCTCCCTCTGAGGCCTGTGTGTGGGGCCCCGGCTGGTCTGGAGCCCATACTTGGTCGTCCGCGCCATGGCCCTGGCTCCTGTCAGCAGCAGAGCTTCCTGGGGCGTGGGAACCCCTCAGGACACAGCACTCACACACACACACACACACCGGCAGCACGTGGAACACAGAGCCACACCCCCTCTCGTGCAGCCTCGCGCCTTGTGTGTTGTTTTAGAGCAGTGGTCGGCAAAATCATTAGTCCACAGAGCCAAATATCAACAGTGCAACGACTGACATTTGAGAGCCAAATTTTTAAATTTAAACTATATAGGCAGGTACATTGTTATTAACTTAACAGGGTACTCCTAAGCTGACCTTTGCTAAAACTCAAGGGGCCAAAGAGCCACATGTGGCTCACGAGCCGCAGTTTGCCGACCACTGCTGTAGTGAGAGAGCAGGGAGGGGGGAAACATCAGTGGGTTGCCTCCTATACACACCTCTCCTGGGAATCAAGCCCACACCCTTTTGGTGTTCAGGGCAACACACCACTGAGCCAAGCCCCCAGCCAGGGCTGCACATTCGTTATTAACAACAGTGGGGATGTTAAAATTACTGGTCACTACTCACTCCTCCAGTTCTCAGATGTCCACAGCGCTCACTCTGTGCAGTGTCGGAGGGCGCTGGGGAGACAGGCCCCATGCAGGGCATGGGGCTCTCAGTGAGGCAGCCGGAGCCCCCGGGATACCCCAGGTCTGCTCCACGGAGCTGCCGGCCGCAGACACCCGGCCTCTGGCCAGCTGCCGTGGGCGCTGTGCTCGGCGCACAGCCGGGAGGGACGGACCCACAGAAAGAGCAGCAGGGTGGCCGGACAGTAGGAGGCGGAGCGCCAGCTGTGGTCCTGCTGTGTCTGCTCAGACCCGCCGCCTGACCTTGGAGACAAATGTGAGCATTCAGAGGTCGGAGAGTAACATCAAATAATTTAATGGTGTCCCAGGGATGTCAGCAGTTCCTTAAATGCACAGAACTATGGACAAATGGTGTGGTCCTGGGCAGGTCAGAGCTTACAGAGGAGGAAGCCTCCGATCCCAACGCTTTTAAACTCATGAACTTGACATGCAGTGTAACTTCTGTGCAGCCTGACAAGATAGAAGAGTTTTTGTGAACAAAAGTGAGATAATTAACTTAAAAATTACAATCGTCGGGAAGTGCTGGTGGAATGAATGGCCCTGATGTACAGCGAGAGCTTGTGTCCTGGCATCGAGCAAACTCAGACGGAGGTTTGATGGGTTAGAGAAGAGGACTGAGCTCACTCTCTAGGGCACTCCAAATGGCTCCTGGTTCTCCCTGCGCGGCCCAAGTTCCTCCCATTTCTTGGCGATGTGGCGAAAGCTCCTGGAGGCAGACATTCCGGGAAGAAGGGCAGCGTGAGCCTGCGGGCTGCCAGGCGGGGCAGAGCACTGGAGCTTTGTCCCGGTGCCCGGGGGAGCGGCCGAGAGGGTCTCTGAGGGAAGGGTCTCCCGCGGGCTGGTGCCCCACAGGGAGAGCTTTCAACGCCACAGGCACTCGATCCTGCGCAGGCGGCTTTGGGAAGAGCCTGCAGCCCGCCCAGGCCCCCAGGAGGCCACCAGGAACTAGCCAGTTAGTAGCCAAAACCACTGAGAAACCGGAGATTTAAAAGTGGTTTGAAGCTCCCTTCTGTTTGGGGATGAGCAGCTGGGCTGCAGGTCGGGGCTGTGGGCAGAGGCTCGCACTGAGGTTTTCCTCCCCCGGGCTCCTGTGCGGGAGCAGGGTAGACAGACCGAGAGGGCTTTTATTTATACCCTCTGACCTGGCTCCCGACCAGGGCCCCTGTGCCTGGGGGGCCCATGGCCTTGGCCTTGGCCTGCGGACTGAGCGGCGGCACCTGAGGGTGGGCCAGGCCTGCACTCCCTCCACCCGGTCTGCAGGGGGAGCCGTGACGGGGGGGCCCTTATGCGCCCTGGTGCCTGTGCTGGAGAGGGGGTTGGCCTGAGGCACCTGCAGGCTGGGCGGGGCACAGGCTGTGCCTGGCCTGGAAGGACTGGGGCCCGTGTCCTGGCATCTCAGATCTGCACGCTCTGCACTAACCTGGACACACCTGTCTGCGGGCCCCGTGTCCAGCTGTCAGCATGGGGTGGGGGGGGGGCCGACCCGGCGTCGAGTCGCTATTTCCTCCCGTGGACACGGCACCACTTCACGTCAGGGTGAATGTGCGGCGAACTCAAAAAACCTTTCTGTTCGTAGGGCTTTGGGTTTCAAAACTGGGGTCAGAGGGTTGTGGGCCTGTGTTCTGTCAAAAGGACTTGGGGGGCAGCAAGTGCTCAGTGCAAAGTGGCTGCTTACGGACCAGGCTGGATGGAGGCAGGAGGCGGGTGAACCCTGCTGACCTCCGTCTGACCCCAGGCAGCCACTTCCCGAAAGTAGGCCGGCCTCGCTCGGGTCACGCAGCGTCACGTGATGCGGTCCTGGCGGACGGTGGGGGTGGCAGCGTGGGGGCCAAGGTCCATGCTCGGGAGCTGGTGGCCTGCTGCCCTGGGCTCCCTGTGGGCCAGTCCCTGTAGCCTTTCTCCCTCGGCTCTGCCCGTGAACAGCCCCTGCGGGTGGGAGCAGGGCGCCTGCCTACACAGCCTTCCCTCCTTGGGAAGCACTGGGTCCCACTGGGACACGTACGCCCTGGCCTCCCCTTGACAGGACCCTGCCCAGCCCCCCCCCCCCCCCCTCATGTGTGCCATCCTGTTTCCTTCGTTTTAACACTCGGCAGCTTTTCTTTCAAGCATCTCTTTATAAACAAACCTAAGGTGGGGGTCAAGCATTCCAACAACACGAGTATAAATACTGGCTTTCACTTCCATCACTTCATTCGTAAAGCCCGTGGGAGGCTGAGTGGCAGGCCGCCAGGGCGCCGCCCGCCTCCAGGAGCTGGGCCCGGGCACAGCTCCCCTCCGCACAGGCACTGGTCCCGAGCACACGCCTGCACCACCGTGTGTGCCGGCCGAGCGCTCCCGTGTACAGCCAGTGGCAAAGTGCTGTGACCAGCTGAGCGACGGCTCGGTGTGGTGGGCGGGCACCGAGCCCGCAGGCTGCGCCCGAGCGGTGCCTCCGGGCTGGCCCCGGCCCCCGGCCGCCTACGCCAGCACCTGCTGGGCCCCCGCCTGGTCCGCGGAGCAGCCGCGGCGGCCGCAGGGCAGCTTCCTGAGCAGCCGCCGCAGCTTGCCGGGGAAGCTCTTGTTGATGCAGCGGTACAGCAGCGGCGTCACGGCGCTGCTGGAGAAGGCCAGGCACCGCGACAGGTCCTTGGCGAAGAGCAGCAGCCCCGGGTGCTGCCCGGCCACGGCGCCCCCCCACAGGGCCAGGCACGTGTGCCCCAGGAGGGTCAGGTAGTGCGGCGTCCACAGCCCAAACTGCGTGCACACGGTGGCCACCAGGAGCCTGTGCACTGAGGGGTCCAGCCTCCCCGAGTCCTGGTCGAGGGGCGTGTCCTCCTTGCGGATCCGCGCGATGAGCGCCAGCGCGTAGAGCACGGCCAGGCCGGGCACCAGGTACCCGATGAGCACCATGATGGCGTCGGCGGCCTCCGGGTGCTGCATCTTGGCGCACTCGACGATCCTGGCCGCCACGTGGCTGCAGATGTAGAAGAGCAGGGAGGAGAAGCTGGTGAGCAGGGCCCCGCCCCAGACGAACCCGCACACGTGCCGGCTGTTGTAGACGCTGGACATGTAGGTGCGCGGCAGCGCACGCTCGATGTAGTAGTCGAGGCTGAGCAGGGCGGTGGAGTACATGGTCACCAGCGAGCAGACGTTGAACAGGACCAGCAGCGTCACGTGGGCCTCGCTGCTGAAGCCCCACAGGGCCCACCCCGAGGCGCCGGGGCCCAGCAGGTGCGCGGGCGCCAGGGCGCTGAGCACCAGGCCGGCCACGGCCATGTTCACGAAGTAGACGTCGGGCATGGTCATGCTGCCCTGGTCCTGCAGGTTCGCCAGCACCAGCAGCGCGTTGTAGCACAGGCCCACAGGCACGCCGACCGCCAGGTAGAGCAGGGTGAAGGCCGGCAGCACCAGGTGGGTGTGCTGGCACAGGAGCTGGTCCTCGCGGCGGCCTGTGCCGTTGAGCGGGCCGCAGCTCCACATGGCGCCGGGCAGCTGGCTGTGGGGAGAGCGGGGCGGTTAGTCGTCTCCGGGAGCCAGAGCCCCGGCCTGCAGGCCCTGCGCTGGGGCCTCAGAGCGGGGCCTTTTAACAAGGACGCTCCGTGAAAGTCGGGTGTCGTCGCAGGTGCCAGCCAGCGCTGGGCCAGGCCAGGCCGGCCAGCACTGCAGTGATCTCGTGGCCACGGGCCATGTGCCCAGGCTGCTCCCGGGCTGCATCCTGCCAGCGTGGCCCTCGCCGGCTCACCACCCCAGTGGCTGGCAGTCGGGCCTCTCCCCCGGGACCGGGGCGCTCCGCAGCCCCTGCTGACCTGGGCGGGAGCTCTCGGGTCTCTGCTCGGTCCTGCCCCTGCCCTTCACTCAGCTCTGTCACTGAAAAGTGAGATTAAGAGCACAAAGTGCCCTCAGACACTGGTGGCCCAGCCAGGGCACCTCCAGGGCAGGGAGGGCCTGCCTGGGGCCTGGCCTTCCCCGCCAGCTAGCCTCATCGGCCTCTCCCACTTCGAAGCCACCTGCCAAGGAAGAGGGACTGAGTGGTGTGCCGAGTGAGTACCCGACTCTTCCCCGCACAGGTCCCTCCTCCCGCATTCCCGCCGTCCCTCAGGGCGCCCGGGTAGCACAGGGCGCCGCACAAGCAGCCCGAGAGCAGGTCACGGCGAGCCTGAGCCTCTGGGAGATGCCGTGCCACGGGGGCTGGGGACCTGGGAGACCTGCAGTGGGTGGGGGCGGAAGGGGGTGATGTCATTTGTGCGAGTCTGAGAGAGCCTGGCCCTGTGCCTCCCGGTCCGTCCGGGTAGCCTGTCCGTCCCCATGCGTCCCCTCTAAGGCTCCTGCTGAGCCGGCCAGCGCGGGAGGGGCCTGCCCACCTGACCTCACTGGCCTTGTCCCCGGCAAACACGGCCGTCCCGGCCTGGCCGAGCCGCACGCCCAGGGCCCTGGTCCACCAGGCTGTCCCCGGTCCTGCCTGCGCCACCGGAGCAGCTGGTGTCTGTTTCCAGGCGTCCACTGCTAGGACACAGACCAGGAGATGCGCTCAGTCTCACTAGACTGGCGCCGCCTCTGCCCGCATGCTGCCCTCACTTGCCCCATGCCTGCGTTCTCTGAGCCCTGGACCACCATCTCCTCTGCGGGCACCGGACTCCTAGTACATCACTCAGCCCCCGCCCCACACACACACACACACACACACACACTCCCTTCGCAGCTGCCTCGGCCCCTCCCGGGCTGTGCAGCCTGTGCCCTGCAGCCAGCAGCCCGGAGGCACACTGCCCTCCCCTCCCCACTGCCTTACCCTCCCCACTGCCCTCCCCTCCTCACCGCCTTACCCTCCCCACCACACTCCCCTCCCCACTGCCCTCCCCTACCTCCCCACCACACTCCCTCCCCACGCCTCCCTCCCACCACGGCTCCCCTCCCCCACACGCTCCCTCCCCACCGCCCTCCCCTCCCCACCGCCCTCCCCTCCCCACCGCCCTCCCTCCCCACCGCGCCCTCCCCTCCGCACCGCCCTCCCCTCCCCACCGCCCTCCCCCTCCCCACCGCGCCCTCCCCTCCGCACCGCCTCCCCTCCGCACCGCCCTCCCCTCCCCACCGCCCTCCCCTCCCCACCGCGCTCCCCTCCCCACCGCGCTCCCCTCCCCTCCGTACTGCCCTCCCCTCCGCACTGCCCTCTCCTCCGCACTGCCCTCCCCTCCCCACTCCGCTCCCCTCCCCTCTGCGGTGGCCCGTGCCCAGCCCCATGGGGCTCACGCAGTGAGGAGCTCCTTGAGCAGATAAACGTTTGTGTGCAGAAACGCAGGGCAGTTGTACCTTCTGGGCCTCTGATCAGTGCTGTCCCTGGGGTTGGAGGGCACAGAATGCGCTGAGGCAGCAGCACCACCTGCAGGCCGCCTGCCTACCCACCCGCTCCGCTGTCCCCAGGGCCCTCAGCAGTGGCTGGCCGCAAGCCAGCGGCTGGGTCTGCCCAGAGGGCTGGCCCCTGGGAATGGTCACGGGGAGTGAAATCCTCAGGATTCCCGAAGCACTCACGTGCCCGTGGCCCAGCTGCAGGGGGCAGACGGTGACGGCGCTGGGCTTGGGGTCAGCAACGGGCTGCCTGCTTGCTGGCTGGCAGCTGGTCACCATCCCAGGCAGAGCCGCCTCCCGCACCAGCCGGAGGGACTGGCTTCAGGTGCAGCCAGGGCTCCAAGGCCGGTGCTGCTCACTGCCGTCCCAGAGCTTCCCAGTGTTACCTAGGGACCGGAGCTAATGGCAGGGCAGGTGTCCCGCACGTTCTGAGTGTGGACCGCTCGCTCTCACCCTGTGAGCTCTGGGGGGGGGGGACTTGCTGGACTTGGCCCCGCCCCTCTGGCCCCATTTCCCTGCAGTCACTCCCCTTCCCTTCCGGCTCTGATTCTGTGAGTCCCAGTCCGGGAAGGAGCTGTCTGGCCAGAGGGGGCCCAACCACAAAGCTCAGGCCCCGCCCCCCTCCCCTCCCTTCCCCTTCCTTCCCCTCCCCTCCCCTCCCCTCCCCTCCCCTCGGGCACAGGCCTCCGCAGCCGATTCCAGGTATTGAGCCTGTTCCTTCCTGAGACAGGAACTGGGAACCAGCTGTGCAGCCGCTCCTGGAAGAGTCCCCTGGGGGACCGGAGGAGAGAGGCGGAGGAGAGAGGCGGCGGCTTCCTCCAGCCACGGGTGCTGTGCAGAGCGCCTCCCTGCCAGCGGCACCCTGCCAGCGTCCCTGTCCCCGTCCCCGCGGCTGAAGGGCTCTGGTGAGGCTCCGGTGGCATGCCGGCCAGGCCTTAGGGACAGGCCCGCTCCCACCCCGCTCTCCCCCGTCAGCCAGGCCCTGGTGCTGCCCCACCCCTGGCTACTGCCTCTGCCGGCCACCTCCAGACTCACTGGCCGGTTTGGCCACCTTCTTCCCATTCTTATCACTGACCACCCACTCCCTGAAACCTCCCCCAGGTTCTAGGACTGGCGCCCATGTGCAGTAGCAGCCTCCACACCCTGGCATCCCATGAGGCACTGGGAAAACAGCCCGCTGTCTGTCCTGCCTGTCCCCGGACTGCACCCCAGGCCCGTGTCCCCGGCTCTCGCCCTGGCCTCTCCCTCTGCCTGGCCGGGTCCCTTCCCCACCCCACTCCATGGGGCAGGACCCAGGAAGTGGCTGTGTGCTGTCTTCATAGGGAGGGAGGGGCCGGAAGGGGGCAGAGCTGCTCCCCTGCAGGAGGGTGCTGCACCCGCCGGGCTGGGCACCCAGGCTCTCCAGTGGGGGTCCTCTTCCTGAGGGTGAAGCACTCGCCCTCCCTGCTCACATGGCCAGGGGGTCAGGGGGCCAGGGGCCTGGAAATCTCTAAAGAGATCAGAGCTGTGGTCAGTTCCTCCGGGCCGGAGCGGCCGTCCCACATTCCGAGGAAGGCAGGCAGAGGGTGAGGCCAGCTCCCTGATCAGAGGAGCTGAGTCCACCTGTGTCCCCTGATGCTGAGCAGTGGCCTCGGGCCACCATCACGGCCGCCCAGACCGGGGACAGGTGACCGTGGCGCCCGGCTTCGCTGGAGTCCTGTCCCTCCAGTCCCTGAGGCCCTCCTGGAGCCTCAGCGGGGCTGCATGTCGTCAGCTAGACGGTCCCTCCTCTCCCAAAGGTGGCTCCTCCAAGGCCCCCCTGCACCCCACCACCTGTCTCTCCAGGTGCCTTCGGCCGCGCCTCCAGCCGCGCTCCCTCCTGGGCTGGTGGCGCGCTCTCACTGGGTCCTCGGTGTGTGACTCCAGAGCCAGCCAGCGCTGGCCGCTCCCTGCCGGCCTGGAGGTCTGTGGGGGCGAGCCAGGGCTTCCCTGCCCTGCCTGGGCCTGGCAGGTGCTGGCCCGAGGGCGGTGCGGGCCCGGAGCGGGCCCAGCCGGCTCTCACTGCGGTGGTGGTGGCGGCGGTGACGGTGAGTCCGCCTGCGGCAGAAAGGCCCTGCAGGACCGACGGGCCACACAGGCTCTGCCTGGCCCCCGAGTCCCAGATGACCAAGTGGGGTGCCTCGGACAGCAGCCCTCCCCAGTCCTGCCCTGGCCAGCGCGTCCTGCCACGCGAGGGAGCCCTGAACGAGACCAAGGCTGCGCTGCGAAGGCCGCAGAGTGCCCAGGTGGGCTCATCAGTGCGGCGTGTAGAGCACACGGGGCGCCTGCCGCCCCTGGTGTCGGGTGAGGAGGGTGCGGACCCCCTTCCCAGAACTCCTTCCCCACAGGCCTCTGGGCGACTCTAAGGAAGGGTCCTGTCCACTGACACGTGGGAAGGGAAAACCAGGGGTTAGGGATGAGGGCATGAGCCCCATCACAGCCACGTGCAAGTCCTTCTGGGAAGGGACCCCAGAGAAGGGCCTGCTGGGCCCGGCTGCGCGCACGGCAGATGCAGGGGCCTGGCTTTGGTCTGGTCGCGTCAGCTTTCCTGGTGTTGCCCTCATCCCGAGCTCCTCACCGTATCCACAGCAGCCCCAGGAATGAGGACTGGAGAGGTGACAAGCTCAGGTTCGTGACTATGACAAACAGCACTCTGCGGGGACCACAGGCCAGCTGGGCTGGTGTGTGCGGCAGAGGGAGCCCTGCCTCTCTGCCTGGGCCTTGGGGAAGGCCCAGACGTCTGAACCCACAGCCAGTCCATGGCCACAAACAACTGAAGTGAACTAAGGCCAGGACTAGTGCAAATGGTCACCTGCACGGGGAGAGGATGCTGGCATGGTCAGAACAGCAACTAGGCCGAGGTAGCAGGAAGCAGGGGCCTCCCAGGAGCCTGTACATACGGCCAGCACAAGCCGTCCTGCTCCCCCAGAGCGACCCTCCCTTCCCCTGCTCCAAGTCAGAGGCCTGTCCTGCACCCAGGTCCTGCGCGCCCGCCGGGGCCCACACCTGGCCGCTCACGCTCACTGCTGGCCTAGGATGCCCTTCCTCGCTGCCCCCTGGCCACCACAGCCTCGCCTGTGAAGCTCTGCCCAGCAGGCCTCCGCACCCGGCCTCTGCCCTCCACCTGGCCCCCCTGCCGCGTCCCTCTTCCCACCAGCGGAGCTCTGAGCTCTGAGGGGCTTTCCTGTGGAGACCTGCAGCTGGCTGGCTCGGTCTGCGAGGAGAAAGGCTTTCCCCACGAAGAGGCAGACGCGCTGGCTGGAAGGGGGAGGCTGAGAGAGCTCTGTGGTCCCGCGAGTGGCGAGCCCTTTGACCCTTCAGAGACCTGGTGTGGGGTTGAGGCCAGGCTGGACAGTGCATCTTGAGTGGGCAGACAGCTCGGCTATGACTCACCCTTCCAGGAGTGTTCTGGAACAATCAAAATGCTTTGAAAGGGACTCCTGAATGTGTATTTCTTCTGAACAGTGGCAGAGAGGCGTTGGCCACAGTTCACACCCGCTGGTCGGAGCAGACCTCCCAGAGGCTGTTTGCACATCGTTCACAGGGGTCTCACCACTGATTCCTGAGGCAGCCCAGTGCCTTCTGGGGAGGGTGGGGAACGGCATTATCTTGGTGGGTGTTGGGGTTTTGCAGCCTTTTGCTTTTTACTTCCAAACTGCCGAGTGGTGAGAGTGAAGCTGGCAACCTGGCCCCAGTGCACACAGGGAGCTGCCTCTCCAGGGGGCACGGCGTTTGCTGGCTCCGGGAGGCCCGGGAGGTGGCCGGGCGCAGGGTCCTGGCCCGCGGGCGCCTGCACGGCCACGGTCCCGCTCCGTTGCGGAGACTGGTCAGCTGGGCTTTTGGCTACTCGAGTCACTGGTGTGAGGCTGCTACTCCTCCAGGTACACCAGACCACAGGAAAACAGAAACACAAAGAGCCGGCTCACAGGGCCGGCCAGGCCGAGAACAGCGCTCTCGTTTCACTTGCTCCTTGCCGGTCGGCTCTGAACCAGGTGTGCTCTTACCTGGAAGCTCAGCCACAGATCCTATCGCCCGCGCACTCGTCATCCCGCTGTAACATCGCTCCCTCAGCACCCAGCTCCCGCCAGGCCTGCTGTGTGTGGGAGGAGCCCTCGGACCCGCACAGGGCTCTCGCACTGGCGGCCCAGCAGCATCGCATTTGGGCCACTCGCGTTAGAAGGTTCACCTTTCTCTCTATACGCAGGGGTCTTCAAACTTCTCTCATTATGAGAATCACCTGGTGGAGTTGTTAAAACACAGATTCCCGGATCCCAACTATAAGAAGTGCTATCAGGAATCTGTGTTTTAACACCTCCACCAGGTGATTCTCATAATGAGAGAAGTTTGAAGACCCCTGCTCTACAGAGTCCTCTGCTGGCGGAAGCCTGCCGTGTCTCGGGGCCGGGGCCGGGGCCGGGGCCAGGGCGGCTGCCCAGTGAGGAGCCCGCAGCCCGAAGCCAGCCAGAGGCTCTGGGAAGCACTGCCTAGGGAAGGTGTGACTGTGGTGGTCACGGCCAGGTGGCAGTTCTTTGTGGAATTCCCAGCAGCCCCCAGGCTGAGATGGAGCAGCGTCCCTCCTCCTCCCGTGAGTCACACAGCCCCCGAGCTCCCCAAGCGGCTCTCATTTTCCATCGTCTCTTGGACCGTCAGTGCACACACTGTAACAGGCACCCACACTGGGTGGCCGTCCCTGCCTTTCTCTCACCCGCAGCCCACAGGGGCTTTGAGTTACAGGGGGGCAGGTCAGTGCCCACGTTTACGTTCTCCCAGAGCTGTGTCCCTGTGCTCAGGTGTCCCCCCGCTACTAGGGAGGCCCGAGCCCACACCCTCGGCCATGGGTGGCCCTGAGCACGGGGGTCATGGTCGTGGCTTCCTGCCTGGGCAGCTGGCGCTCACAGAATAGAGCCATGGTTTTTAAAAGCCGCTCTCTTCCGAGGCCTGTCACCAGGAAACTGCCTGGGGCCCTGGTTGGAGAGCGTATTAGTGGCAGTGCCTCTTGGCCATCGGCGGTGCCCGCTGGGCCCAGTGGCGCCTGAGCAGCCTGGGAACACGGTCGGGCGTGCGGAGGCTGTAGAGCAAGCTTCCTGCCCGGTGAGTGAACG